TCGTACATGCGGATGAGGATAGCACTGCTTTGTGCAAAAACAATATTTTGAGACAAAATTTCTCTCGGGCTGTGCCAAGTATCTATGAGGCCGTCAACACGTACAAGTATCTGTCCAAGTCGAAGGTGGGAACTATTTTCCGCGACCTTGCAGCATGGTCTATCCGAGGCCTATATTGATCGGAATATCGCGCCACTCCTTAGCCCAAGGAAATCGCATTAAATAATTGACAGCCATCGAAGCAGGGATGGCGCGAAGTTATACTTAATACGATCGTTATGTGTCATCGGTATGGAATCTCAGAGGAGAATTGACTGCGCGAGCTTCAAGTTCGCTCGGGATCACGGGGAAGCTCTTGAAAAACATGTACGCGGAAGCGCTACGCATCTGTTCAACGATGAAGATCATCTTATGGAGATAACGCCGCCCGTTTCTCGTTATAACGGGACGCTTTATTAGCACTTTATCAAGGCCACTCAATGATTTCTACGCGGAGAAGTCTGTTTTCTCTCTCATTCTCTCTCGTTCTGTCCTCCGTTTGGCGCGACCGACCGCGGCGGATTCTCGGCGAAGATGCACCTGTTGCACGAAGAATGACGGAAGCTGTCGTACGAACTTGACTCCTAACAGTGATGCCTTTGAACATATATTTAACGCGTTTGTGAGGGGCAACGCTGAATGAGTCGTTGCAAGGTCATTACATAACGCGTGACCGCGCGATTGGACGATGACACTTGATAATTATTTCATTATCACGCGACGACCGCGTCGCCACTTAATTGCAATTAAAATCATTTCCCGGGCATACATACACTCCGCTCAATTGGCTTTTCTACTTGGCAAGCGTTTCACGACGTTATAACGTATGTTATCACGCCACAAGCGATTCCGAGAATCGGAAAAAGCCACGTGAGATCAAAGATACGCTAAATCGGCTAAGTTTAGTATTATTAACTAATAAATTTCAACAACATCTTTCGATTTTCTCGGAGATATTCAATTAGTGTTTAACAAATTTGTGCCAATTGGAAAAGTTACAAAATCAAAACTCGCATTTCCTTCTACAGAATACGACGATAAAACGTAGAAAAAGGCTTTCGTATTTAAATGAATTGTCTGGGTAGCGATCATGTAACTTTTCTCCTAGGAAGGAAATGTGAAGTGAAAAATTTTATTTGTGATACTCTCTAAATTCTTTCTCTGGAAAGGAAAATTGAGATAGTCTTGAAAAAGAGTGGCTCAATTTTCAACCTTTAAGAGTGAGATTTTACTTTCTAGAGTGACGATTCACTCTAAAAGGCTCTTTAGAAGGCATGTATGTAAGTACATACAATACCTACATACATAATAAAATTTGTAAAATTTATTTTATGTACATATATAATATATAAAAATTCAAATTTTTACGTTTCTGCCTTAGAGAAAAAGTTGCATTGTAAAAGTTACCTAAGAAAAAAGTTACCTGGAATTGACAATAAAATAAATTAAATATGTCATAATTAATTTTCCCTCAATTTTTTGCATTTGCCAATATCTATACCTACGCATCAGGTTTAGCTGGTTTTGTCATTTCCAGAGAAAATGTTCAATTCCAAAGAAAGTTTCATCCGTCTTGATTACTCTCTTGCTAGTTATCTGCATCTGGTTAATAATCCTATGAAGCGTCTTTGGGGAAATACTATGAGGAAAAGTTACAACGTTAAATACATAAATGCGCGCTCAAAAGTCCAGGTCACAACACAATGAATGCGTTCCTTAAATAGGCGAGATGTAAATTCGATTTTCTTCTGCGTAGTCTAATTATAAATTATCTGTGATCTATCCCGCTCATCTGGACGATCAGGAAGGCGCGCTCTAAAATCTTCCCACGACAGCGTGCCCAAAAACAGTGACGACAACGAACGTCACTAGTGCAGCAGCTGATTGAATCTTCGATGCCGAATTCTCACATTCGGGAAGTGGCTTTTGCGTCGTATCTATAGGACGAACGCCTGTAAACGCTCCGTTATTATCCTGATAATTTTGAAACGGTGGATGTACGGTGACCGTCGGTTCATAATACGGAGCTTGGTACATCTCGTCCGTCGAAGGTGAGTGTATCAATTCCGGTGGCGAAGGTCTGACATAATGCATGTCAAATGCCGTCGTAGTTTGCGATCGATCGTATTCAATAGGCCGATCCGTGGCGATAAAAAAGTCGTCGTCGGTATCCGATGATGGTTCTTCGACTATCATTTTACGTGGATCGTGTCCATAATACGGTGTTTTCGTTGATGACGTCACTCTGTCGCTCCCTTCAGTAGGACGGCGAAATTGTTTATGATGTTCCGGTATCGGATGGACCGGATGTTCAACCGAGTCATCTATGGACCAAACCATGTCCGAAACATCGGACGTCATTTGAATGGATTCATGCGGCATACTTTCCAGACCATTGGATGTTGTAACACTTGTAACATATAGAGGATACGTTATAGTATTTCCAGCTTGCGATGATCTGCCGGATTCTCCGATCGCTTTGTCCTCTGAAGATCCTACAACAAATACTTGCGATCTCTCTGACGTGGGATACGATGGATAAGGCATCGTTTCATGCGGTGGAATGTATGACGGGTATATTAACATGTCTTCCGTTTGCGATGGCCTATCAGTTCCTACTATCCTGATATCCTCCGATAATGTTACGGGTGGTACTCGCGATCTTTCCGGCGTTGGATATGACCAATAGGGCGTCGTTTCATGTGTCGGCTGTGAATACATTAAGGTGTGTTCCGTTCGCGACGGTCCGTCAGTTTCTGGCATCTTGATATCTTCGGCGGGCGGTGCTCGCGGCGTTTCCGGCGTTGAATACGGGTAAGACATTACCTGATGCGACGATGACTCCGATGGTACATGCGAGGGTGTCTTGTCTTCGGATCTTATGTCCGGAAATCTCGGTTCCACTCGCGGCAAAGGCAATTCCTCCTGTTGTTTCGGCGTTGTTCGTACAGTCGTGGTTGGTGGTCTCCTATGGCGTGAACGGTATGTTTCCGAATGATTTGGATAAAACGTCTTGTCTCTCGTCTTATAAGATTCTTCTGATTCCTCTGAAGGTGGTCTACTGGGGTGCAACCTTTCGCGATACGCTGGCACGATTTCTTTGTCGATTTCTTCGTCTTCTTCCACGAGAATCGGTGGGACATGAACGTTGATTATGTCACTAGTGAGTCTTCTCCACTCGGGATCCTGTTCAAAAGCAACGCCCTGATTCTCAAGGAATTTGCTGACAGCATGCGGGCAGGCGAAGTCGGAATTCTCGCTGAGGAAAATGCGCTTCAGTTCCTTCAAGTATGACATCTCGTCGAGATTCAGGCATTGCAGTCGATTTCCCGAAATCCTTAAATCTACGAGACTGGGTAGATTCGTGTAGACGCCGTCTTCGATGTCACGTATATCATTGTAATTGAGATCGAGATACGTCAGCGAGTCCAGTCCTTCGAACCACGACGATCTGACGGTAGTTAAGCGGTTGTTATCTAAGCTGAGTTGCTGAAGATTGACGAGACGTCGAAAAGCGTCTGCATCGATATCGGTAATCTCGCAATGCGAGCAACTCAATACCCAAAGGTTCCCGCCAAATCTCGAGAACGTATCGACAGTTATTCTGTGAAGTGGCATCCTAAAGATCCGCAATTTCTCGGTTGTTTCAGGTATGGTGGTCAAATCAACGGGGTGGCCACCTTCGCAGACATATTCCAGCATATCCTCATTCTCCACCTTTCTGCACGATGCCGCGACATCGCCGACAAATGCAGTTAACAAGGCAAATAACACTAAAGTTATAGTATGATCCATTTTTTTGATTGACGTATAAAGAGATTACAGGCAAAATAATACAATTCGCTTCGATTAATGGTAACAATAATCGTCGTAGAAAAAACAGTCCTCTATTGTACTCATTTCGACAATCAGACAGAACGAAATGTGACAATCGTCACAAGAGGGATTGTTCGTACGAACTTTACGATTAACGACAAACGATCGAACTAATTGTAACGCGGACTGAAGCAGTTCTCACATTCGTAGGTTACTTATTTACTAGACCTTCCCCTCCTAGTAGTGCTTCTATTTCTCCTACTACCTTCCACCCGTCAAGCTGTACAGTCGATCGGTAAAAATAGAGAAGCTTGAAAATAGAGTTGCGGGGCGTTAAAAGACTGTTGAAGTGACATTTAGCATGAATGTGCTAACGTGATTTAAAATTCGCGCTAGAATTGCACGAGGTCGATCACGGTTGCAGATCGATACACAAGCAATATACAAAAGTGGCAAAAATCGCAACGGGTGACGAAATAATGTTTCGTAATAATGTTTACTAATTGAATTGTTTCAAAAATTTATTTTTCTTTTAATTTTTAGATCATTCTGAAATTAAGTGGAAATACAATAGAAATCAATTAATTATATCGGATATATAAGAAACTACTGAGAATGAAAATGTGGAAACATCGAAATAATATTAAGAAAGTAAACTATAAACATTTGATAATAGACACTAGAATTTGTGAAAATTATAATTTTCTTAACATATATATCAGAAACACTAGAACTCTTTGATGAGTTTTGACTCGTCAAAAAGTTTTAGTGTTTCTGATATGTTTGCAAAATTATGAAAATATATCTTTTAAAATGGAATAAGTATTAACTACACAGACATATAATATTTATTTATAAGGAAATTCTAGAAGTGCCTCCCTCCAATTTTGATGAATTTTGAATATGTTGTTTTCTAGACAAAACTAAGGGATGCATATTTAAAGATACATCTCTTTGAAAAAAAATTTTTTCTGTTGAAACGGATATTAAGAGAACTACAAGAGATAGAAAAAAATGTTCTGAATAAAAATTAAATAGATTGGAAAGTACTTTATAATAACTTTTTATTTCAAATATTTTTTTAATCTTACAGTTTCAACGATATGCACTTTTAAAGACAATAATTGATTTTTTTCAAAGGAGTGTCATACTTCCTAAAAAGGTAATTAACCTTTAAAAAAAATATGTTTTTAATTTATTATTGTCAGAAAATATTCATAGTTTATTAAAAATCAGAATAAGCCATTTCCATGAGTTTTCTTATTAGTCTTTTGTGTTTTATTGCAATGTTAAATTTTTTGTAGCCCTCAACATATTTTTCATGGTACAAATCAGAAACATTATATTTATAAATATCTTACCTTTCTTCTCCTACGCTGCTTCTTTTTTTTATTTTCATTAGTAAAAGTTGTATATTCTGGAACTTCACCTCTTTCTATTAGATCTTGAATTATGGCATGAAGTCTGGGTTCTTCATCACAGTTTGTAAATGGAACAGCTTCTAGAATATAATCCATATCTCCTTTACCTAGAAAAAGTATAAACAAATTGTTAATATATCACAATATTGATATGTATAATATAAAGAATGTCTCCTTCGTTCTATATTTAATCTCTGTCAATCTTAATCTTTTTAAGGATGGAAAGCCACTATAGTGATTCTGAAAGTCTCATATTTTGAGGTAAGAAATACAATGAATAATAAATTTTACTCAAGGAAAAGCTGTAACATTTTAAAAATAAACTCTTCCTCTCTCTAAAGATTGAACTAAATTTTTTTCTTTATAGAAACATATTAATTCTTATTTATGTTTAAAAAATTATTCTTTAAATTAAGAAAAAAAATTGATGTGTTTCTGAGATTATCTGTAATTACAAAAATCTTACTGTCTGTGTATGCTCTTTTGAGATCCTTGATTTCTGTCTCTGATCCCTTGTAATTTTTCTCATAATTATTGATATCTTCAACAGTAATTTCTTTAAATAAGGACCGCCAATAATCTGCCCAATTGCGCATTACGACCTCCTCGCTTTCTTCATCATACTGGCCGGATTCATCGTAAACCTTGCGTTTTTCGCTGTCACTGAGGATGGAATGTATCCTACCGAGAACCTTAAATTTCTCCGTCGCTTCCGCCTTAATATTCTCCTCGACCCTATCCGGATGTACAAGCAACGATAGCTTGTGGTAAGCCTTTTTAACTGATGACATAACGAATGTTATTATTAAGAAAACATTCCAAGAATTGAAATTCGCGGAGAGGTTAGAACGCTTTTATGTCACCTTGCTTGTCGTCTGCAGTCTTCGATATTTTTAACACGTCGTAAAAGTTACGAGCGCCGAAGTACTGTTCGCACAGATCTAATAAACTCGCCATATCGCTGAATCTTCGAATAAACACTGAAAATTTTAATTCGCAATTTCAAAATACTAACGATCGTGACAACGACCGACAACGACGCGATCAGCTGTTCGCCCGCCGCAATTTAGCGGGTTCATATATACAAACAATACGAACTTTCAAATCGACTAAAGTCACTAGATCTATAAAGTACCGCAAATTCGCATCCATTTTGTCGCAAAACGCGGCCATTTCGAATTTATGGATTTGTATTACGTGCTTTATTTGGGAAAATAAAGCCGTCAAGTATGTAAATCAATGTTTTTTAGTTGTAATTAGTTTATTTATAAACAAAAAAATATGTACGAATGCTTAATTTATGTGTTCTTTAGTTTAATACGGGTTTATTTGTTGCAGAAGTTTAGTGCATGAAAGTGCACGAAGGGACATGTAAGTACAGTTTAAAAGATGAACCACCCAACCATTGGCTACGTTTACATCGTGCATTTAGGCCGCGGCCTATACGATAGACGTCCTTGTTTATCCTGTAGGTTAAACAAAGACATCTATCGTATAGGTCGCGGACTAAACGCACGGTGTAAACGTAGCCAATATCTTGGAATCGTGTACTATGTGCACTTCGGTCATTTTGTCGCAACATTTATGAAATCAATTGCGCTACTTTAGAAATCTAGTGACTTTAAAATCGGCCCGTTGAAGCGACATCTACGTTACGGCGTGTCGACGGAACTACCGTCGGTAACAATACCCTCACCGTTACCGACTGTGTCACCGCCAGCTGCGCCCTCTGTCGTTTCCGCTGTCTTCGATCGCACGACTCTTTCGCGTACAGTTTTTCTTTTCCGGTTTATCAAAATGGTAAGATGGTGTGACAGCGTCCGGTTCGATTGAAAAATCGGGCGATTTTATGCCGCTACTTATTAATCGCGATAAATAAACACGACTACAGGATATTAAATTGTTTAGATTCAATTAATGACGAGTATTTCTTTTCGCAGGGGATCGATATTAATCATAAGCATGATCGGAAGGTGCGACGAATAGAGCCCAAGTCGCAAGATGTATATTTACGACTTCTCGTCAAGGTAAATGCCTTGCCTTTCGTATTATTTACCTGTGAAGCAAAGTATATACTTCAAACTTTTACTCAGAAACACTTGATTCCATTTTATTGGAATTTTGTATGAAATAATGCACGATTGTCTGTCATGATGGTTTCTTATTGAGGTTAGTTTTCAAGTGTGATTACATGTGAAAGAAGCTTCGTATCATCGTATATCTTTCTTCAATTCATATTCAGTTGAATTGAAAAAGATTTACAACGAATTCGATCATTTTCATTGCACGAGATTAGTGCATAACTAAAGTTGCTATATGTAAAATTAACAAAACGGTGTAAAAGCATTAAATATTTTAAGCGATTATATACTCAATAATGATATCATGTTATTTAGTAGAATAAATGTATTATTTCAAATTTGTCAAATTTGGTTATATTGTGCTTCTATATTTAGATACTTTAAAACATTGTAATGTATTAATTCAATACAGTACAAATGATTGAAGTCATTAATGATTGTATATTGGCGATTTATCAATCAGTTTTTATGATTGCGAGCTGCACTCTGTGTCAGATCTTTTATAGACCTGATTCAATTTGAAAGTTCGCTAGAGAAATATTTGTCAACTATCCTATCTCGCTTATTTGAAACATAAAATAGCGATTATTATAGTTGATACATATATTAGACAAATTTTGTAATTATAATTTTCAAACCTTTTTATTGTGAAGGCTCTTTTTGGGAACAGAATTTTGTAGAAATTTAATGACATACTTATTTTATACATATTTTATGTAATTAATTTGTATAAGTTTTTAATAAATTTTGTATTTCTGTAAAGTTTCTAAAGGAAGTCACAGCTTTGAAAATTGTAAGAGACTTTCTACAATAAACGATTACTAATCAATCAGAAGTCAGAAGCTAGAAATTGACCAATCACAATCGAATGTAAAAAGAATCACCTGTGATTGATTTCAATTTCTAGCTTCTGACTTCTGATTTTACTAATGGCTTATTGTAGGAAGTCTCTAAAATTTATTAGAATTCCTGATAATTAACAGATGCTTTGTTGCAGCTGTATCGGTTCTTGGCGAGACGAACAAATTCAAAGTTCAATAAAATTATATTGAAACGATTGTTCATGAGTAAAATTCATCGACCACCAATTTCACTGGCGAGAATTGTGAGATTTATGAAGAAACCTGGCAGGGAGAATTGTGTTGCCGTCATCGTCGGTACAGTCACTGACGATGCTAGGATTTTTGAAGTCCCCAAGTTGACGGTAAATGACTACAAGCATACTGATATCTAAGATCAATATTCATAGTCTGTTTTTAATTTAAGATTGTCTGCAATAATATTAGTCGGCTGATATTTTATGTTTTATATAATAAACATAGTATCTGAACATAAAAATGGAACGTGAGTTACAGTTGTAAGTCAACACAATGTTTTAGTATAATTATAGATATGCCAATACAGTATACATAATTACGCCAAAACATGTGTTGACTACGACTCACGTTCCACGATTTAATTAAGGCAATCTTTGTGCCTAAGACTTTAATTGGTTGCAGAAATTCTCAAATCTCTATCCTAGCCAACAACTTTCTACCCTAAATCAACAGCTTGAAAAATTTGTTGTACTTTAAATGTAATACTACAATACTAGCCTGATAAGGTTCTATAATTGGTTTATGACATCTTAAAACTGTATTTAAAATGATCTTAAATATAAGAGCAGAGTATGAATACCGGTCTAAGGCCTTGTGATTGGTTTGTAACTTAAGATAATCTTAAGTATAAGAATCGATTAAGAATACTGGTCATAGAACAGTATTAGTATTTTAAAGCTGATATTATATTTGTCGTACGATAAATTTTTCAACCGTGTTAATTGGCTGTAGGACAGAGAGAGCCGAAAACCTCCTTTGTCCTGCAGCCAATCAAAGGGCTTGAAAAGTACAACAACAAAAAAACAGATGAATATAATATTAGTCTAAGATATTACTTAAGGTTGTCTTGAAATAAGAAATGACTATGAATACTGAAATAGTTAGATTTGTATTATATGGCAATTGATTTTTGCAGGTATGCGCTTTACGCGTGACTGAGAAGGCTCGGGCACGCATCTTGAAAAATGGAGGCGAGATCATCACGTTCGATCAGCTGGCATTACGAGCCCCAACTGGAAAACGCACAGTCTTGATGCAGGGACCGCGTAACGCTCGCGAGAGCGTTAAACACTTCGGTCTGGCACCTGGCGTACCACATTCTCATACGAAACCTTACGTGAGGTCTAAGGGTCGAAAGTTCGAACGGGCGAGAGGCCGTAGACGCAGCTGCGGTTATAAGAAATAAAATTGATGTAACACGCACTTCGACGGATGTTCTATCAGTCGTAATCTTTTCTTTCACGCGGTCAAGTGGCTGAAAAATAAACATTTGCTTCATAACAACTTTCCATTCTCTTTTCTTATGCTGTATCCAGACTTTCTGTTCTAATCAGATACTTCCACATCGTGGATTTCATTACACGTTATATCATTGAATTAATTTATAAATTAAAATATATTACAAATTTATTGTTCAATCATACTTTTTAATGTCTACGATCGTACGATACTCATCAAATATTACATATAAAATTAAAGAATAAATAACAAATTGTGTGTAAACATAGTTTTGATTTCTAACAATACGATCAATTACGATAAAGAGACAACACGCGCCTAACTTCACAAGATAAAGCGCGCGTTCGTTCGTTTCATCTCGAATCGAACTCGACGAGAATAATCGAATTCGACTCGACCTGAACTTGGCGTGAGTACCCGCACATCCCGTCGCGCGATCCGCGGCGCGATGAGGCGCGGGTGCGGGTGCTATCAGTCGCCATCTTAGCGACCGCAATCGGTTTGTTCTTCGTCTCCTCTGAGGATTAGTCGAGGTTCTCGTCGTATGTTCGGCGCGACTGTGCGCATCGTCGTCACGGTAGGCAGCTAGCCCCCCGTCGTCGATAGTCAGCGCGGTGCACCGGGAAGCGAGCGGGGCTTGCCAACGGTGGTGGCAGCGGTGACGATTTGCCGGTGCACGAACGGCCGGCGGCGCGGTGCGACGACGACGGTGGCGGTGGTGAAGGTGGTGGCAGCGGAGCAGCAGCGCGTCGAAGGTGGGCGGCGGTACGACGCGTCGAGCGTTTCTCGTTCCTCTCCTTTCCCCGACCCCGGCTTTAAAGCCCAGCTACAGCTCCGGCTCTAGCTCCTGCTCTAGCTCCGACTCTAGCTTCTGTCCCCGGTATCCCGATCGCTGCTCGCTTCGGCCCGCGCGAGACTCCGCGAGAATCCGTGACGTGTAGCTTGTAGCGCGTGACAATTCGGCTGTGCTGCGTGAAGTGCAGAAACTCCAAGGCTTCCGTCGAGCCTAAAATTCGGAAGCGGGATAAAAACGCGTGAAGGAAAGAGAGACGTAAAGAAAGGACGTTTCCTCGTGGTAGCTAGATCGGCGATCGTCTTTGGGGGAATAGGAAGATGAGCTGCCAACGTAACGCCGGCAAGATCACGGTGCCGGACGACCTGCGCGACGTCCTGCTGGAGTTCACAATCAGCTATCTGCTGGAGCAGCCCGGCGATATCATCGACTATGCTGTGGACTTTTTCACGCGGCTACGTGACGCACGGCGTACGCAGCTTATCCATACGGACGGACATCAAACCTGTTCGTCCACGCCGGATGAGTCTGTCGATGAAGGTGAGTCTTGGGAGAGGACGAGATATCTCTCTTTTGCTTTCTCTCTCTCTCTCTCTCTATCCCAGTTTCCGTCTCACGGTATCTCACGATCATGGGCGATTCTGTCAATAATGCTTGTCCACAGGAACCGACAGGTCTAAAAACAAGATAGATAAATCCATTTAGGTCCATTCTGAAGCTTTATGACCAAAACGAATTGTACAAATTATGGCCGTGTAAAATTTTTCAAGTGGAAGACTTTTCATCTTTATAATTCTTTATGTGAGAAAAATCGATACCAAATATATCTTCTAAAAAATCTAAAATGCGAAGAATGTTTTGCATATTACAGTCAATGCTCCGAAATAATATCAGTCGGTTTGATTCCTTAAAATTTTTCTATTTCTCAAACAGCGTGCCGTTATATTTTCTTAATTTAATTAAATTAATAAATTAAATAATCAGCAGAGCACTTATCGAAAAACCTGCCCGAAGATAGTAACGATTTTACTGTTATCTCGAATTCGAGAAATCTCTCTCTCTCAAGCGATTTTCTCTCTTCAATTTATAAGAAAAAAATCAGACATTGTTTGCGCAGGTATAGAGTGACAAATAGCTTGGTTAACTGATTGTGATTAGTGTCAATCACGACGTTAGTAGAGTTAAGCTTGAGCTGGTCGAGAGCTGCTCAAATCGATATCAGTTGTAAGTTAAGCGTGCAGGGTCGATTCTACCAACGTCAATTGACTCGTCGTCGCGGTTTCGATTCTCACTTTCCTTCCGGGGGTGGATAAAAGACGGAGAGGTGGGCGGAGAGAAGAAATATCGTGATTCCGGGTATAATGCGGCATATATATATCAGTAATTTACCAGTAATAGACGGTGATAATAATTTAATAAAATTGAGCAATCGGTCATTTATTCCACGCCGTATTCTCTGTCTGTCTTTTTTCTTAATGGCTGTGTTCAACAGAAAAAAATAACTTTGCAACTGTTATAAGATTTTTTAATATGATTGGTTTATCTTTATGCATTTAGATCCAGTGAAGAATTAAGAGGAATTAAAAGCAAGAATCAATTAAGCTCATTCTACAATTGCGTAAGCGTGGTTATAAATGGTTGTAGTTATAAGAATTAATCAATCACAGTCAAATATGAGGAAAATATTCGACTGTAATTAGTCAATTCTTACAATTGCAACCACTTATAACTACGCTTACACAATTGTGTAGAATGGGCTTTATTCTAAAAGATCTTACAACAGTCATAAAACTCTTCCTGCTAAACGCAGCCATTGATCGATATATTTAGCGATATCAGGTGATCATCCATTGAACGGATGTCTGGATTCGACCACCGATATGCTGATTAATTCCGGAGTTAGTTGAACCAATTCTCTCTTTACCCCTCGGGATCGTAACGTTGGTGATGTAATACGGGCAATTATGTGGGATTAGTGCTGAACGATATTGGTGGAATCGGTTTCCAAACGAGCCGCGCACGTAATGGCAGTGCGAAATGTATGTCTGAATAAACGCTGGGATGTTCCACTGAGAAATGCATGTGATATCGAAATGCTTCTATTCGCATGCAATTTCCAGTCTGTATCGAATTCGAAGCTTAGACATCTTTCTTTCTTTTCTCCTTTTCTTTCTTTCTATAGTACCGACATCCTTTCTTTCACGAAAAACAATACTTCTCCTTTTTTCCCAGATTGATTCAATTTTCGATCCTTTTTTACCCAATCAAGAAGGAAGTTCCTTAAATCTCTCGAAGAGACTAGCATAAATGCTTTTGGGATATTATTGGATCCCTCTCACTGTCGAGCCAGAGATATTCTTGATTCCTGCCTGAGTCACACGAAGTATCCTTTTTATAAAATTGCACGGAATATTAAACTCTATCCCCAACTATTACGTCTCGGCGAACAACTTCACTACGGGGGAACGAAAATAGATGTTCTAATATTTTTTCTTTTTTATCAATGTGTGTATATCTTTATCAATGGTTGCGTTCCGCAGAAAAGAACAGCTTTGCAACTGTTGTAAAATTTTTTAATATAATTAGTCTCGTTCTTACTCACTGGCTTAAAATGTATAGCCAGTTATATTAAAAAATTTTACAACAGTTGCAAAGCTGCTTTTTCTGTTGAACGCGTTTTTATTTTCTTTCCTAATTACTATTTATACAAATTATTTTTTTTATTATCACATACAAGAGGCTTATTACGGTTCTTAGAGCGAGATAAAAATTATAGAAGTGAGTGAATTTACTAGAATATTTATCACTTCATTGGGCAACACCTATATAGTGAATTTACTTTCGTAATTTTCACTTCGTTTTAAGCGTTTAGATTTTGTATCACTACACAACTCGGTGAAACTTACAAAAATTATTGAATTTACTGGAATATTTATAACTTCATTAAACATCTAGATAGACAATATCTAATTGATTTGCTCATTTTTTAAATTTTCTTCTCGTTTCAAAATACAAAATTATTACGTTTCAAGAATCGTAATAAATCTCTCAGACTCCTTTGCGAGCGAATTATTTGGCCGCAAAGATCGCCCTTGCCATTCATCGTGATACTCTCAGTTAACACATCATTCGTGACAAGTTCGATTCGTATTCCCGATGTGCCGAATATTCTGAAACAGTAAAAGAACTTTCACAGAATGTTCAAATATTAATGAAATGTTCGGAATATCGTATGAATATTTCTCGTGCGAGCAGTACGCATCCCCGGCGACAGAGAGTCGTAATAGCGAAAATGCATTAACTCGTAAATAAAAATGAAAAGAGCATAAAAAATAGGGATGCGTTCAGGAATTACTCCTAGATGACTCTAGACTATAATTTACGTCGCTGTAATATACGTTACGTATACTATAACAAAAGTATACATCAGAGTTATCTGTACGGAGAAAATTTTATATTAAGTTTTAATAGAATTCTAAATTACATTTTACTACGTTTTATATTTTCATGGACCATCACGATTCCGACATAACTTTTACTATGGTAATACTAATTTTTATCACATAAATGAAGTAATTTTTGTTAAATCAATGCTTAAACCATATTCTAACATGGAAAGAGTTAATTTTTACTATGGTACGCAAACAAAATTTGCTAGGTATATATTTTTTACTTATTTTTACAATACTAACTTTTATTCAACAAGTTTTGCTTTTGTAATAAAAAATTTTTACTATGAGAAAGTGTAAAAATTACGTTGCATTATTGTTTTTAAAAAAAAATGGCTATAGCATTTAAACTTATAATTACATGACGGTCCGCAGCTTCTATCACATTATAGTAATTTTAAATATAAAATTTTTTCCGTATGGACGTAATTCCTGAACGCATCCCCCTGCATTTCGTTTGTGAAGTGAATCCCCAAAATTAAGTTCTAAGAGGAAAGCAAATAAAATTTCTGACAGTACAATTTCGTTTAAAAATTAATTCAGGGTCTTCCGAATATATAATTTCTAGGAAAAATATAATTTTACGGAATATATAGTGTTGTATGAATGGAATATTTAACGATTATTTGCACTCTAAATTTTTGGGAGTGAAATTTCACTCCAAGAAAAGTGATAGTTACGCCAGTTTGGCACACTCTTTTAAAGAGTGAATTTTCTAAAAAGTCTATTTGAATGATTAATATCTCGCTTCGCGAGGCAAAACGACGCTTTTTTCAGCCAGATTCATTTGTCTTGTTCAAAGACACATCAAATGAGCTTAATTTCGTCAGGATTGAACGTAGGCGGGCTAACTTAACATTTACCTTCAGTCTCTCTTTTCGGAGAGTGAGATTATTCAGAAATTAAAAATTGACTCTCGCGCTTGGAGTTTTTTCTTCACTCTCTAAGAGTGAAAATTTAATTCCTGCTAAACTATCGCTGTTCGAAAGTAAAATTTTATTCCCAAAAATTTAGAGTGTGAATGTTGCTTTTACATTAATTCGTAAATAGGAATCGTATAGGAAAGAATATAAAGGTCATAGCATTTCAACTGTAAAGCGATCCACTAAAATTAGGCTCCAAGGTCAAAGTAAATGAAATGTGTTTTTTTGACAGTACAGTTTCATTTAAAAATTAATTCAGGGACCTTTGGATATGGAATTTCTAGGAAAATTATAATTTTATAATTATATATGAAACATATATGGAGAATATTCTTTGAATCTGTAACAATATATGAATAGATATTCAACGATTTTTTGAATGTTATTTTTACACTCTGAAAATATTCCGGAATATTCTTGGGACGTCACATTTTACGAATATTTCAGGAATATTTAGCGTTAGTTGGGGTCCGATTTACATCTTACTCCGAGTAGCACATACTAATAAATTATTCCAGACTCAGTGGCTACACAGAGAGAAAAATGTTTGGTATTTATAACTATAATTATATATTACTATAATTATGATTATTACTGCTATAATAATAATAACAGTAACTATATATATAGTTCCAGCAACAAATGTATATAATTGGCAATCTAAAATGACTATAATTATAGTTGTTATAACCATAAAATAGTTGAAATTACCATAAAAATGATACAAGTGACTATAATTTTAGGTTGCCAATTATATACATTTGTTGCTGGAACTATATATATAGTTACTGTTATTATTATAGCAGTAATAATCATAATTATAGTTACAAATACCAAACATTTTTCTCTCTGTGTACGTTTACACCGTGCGCTTAGTCCGCGACTTATACGATAGGTGTCTTTGTTTAATATACAAGATAAACAAAGACATCTATTGTATAGGTCGCGGCCTAAATTCACGGTGTAAACGTAGCCACTCTGAACTTTCGCGACTTCCCTTTCATCATTCTCTAAACGTTTCTCAATCTCGCTCGGATTAAAGTCGCGATAATCGATCGAGATCCCCCCCGGAAATTCTCACGTGGTTTCCGCGCTCTCCACCATCCTTTCCTTCTACCCCCAGAACGAAAGCCTGGACTTGGTTATTATTGTCACGTGGGGCGAGGAAGGGGAGTATCGCTTCGATCTCGGAGATGCGCGTCCGAAGAGTCTTGTAGAAGAAAAACGCACGCAAAGTGAAGCACTGTCGTTTAGTTGAAAGTTTCGCTGAAGTTTCGCCAAACACCGTTTCAGATCGACTCGATTCACACTTTTCGAGGCCTGCGCGCGATTTGAGGAATCCAATCGCTCAGCTGCACCAACATTGAACACGGTCCAGTCGGGTCTGGTCAGGCGCTGTCGCGAGATGAGATTCTCGGATGCGCGGTGGTTTCGATATAGTTCAATAGTTGTTCGTGCAGCGCTTACAAGCGCTTAACCGGCGACCGCAATCTCGTCTCGTCAGTACGACGCGACTGCACATCCCGGACGCGATCCTCTTCGTCTGTGCGTCTCGTAGTTTGTTTCATCTTTTCATCTTCGAAGGAAAAACGCGCGCGTGGATCAACGCGGATACGAATCTCGTAAATGTATTCGCGCATCAGGGAACTCTTTTCCCAACAGAAGTCGTAACTGAAATAAAAAACGGAGCCAACCCCTTTGATTCGTCCGATTGTTTAGTTTACTCACGATCGTTGGGTAAAATGCTCGTCGGAGTAGAAAGGAAGAGAAACGTCTAGGAAGAGAATATTTATGACTGCATTACTCTGTACACGGATGCTACGTTCCGGAGTTGTTTACCGCGCGCGCTCCGTTTACTTCGTACCACGTCGAAATTTCTTACCTTAGTGTAATATTGTGATAAAATCGTGTCTGTGAATTAGTTGTTAGTAGATACGAGGTATCGCCTACGACATATTTCTTGTTTCGTGACAAGTGAACGTGAACGTACTGCCAACAAGGACGAACGTGTTTCTCGTGCACGTTTCTGCCGCGTGTTTCTTTTCTCCGCGGACCAAATGTCGCTCATCTCCGTCATCGAGCCAGTGGATGACAGAGGTGGGAAAGAATTAAACACCATGGAGTTTCTGTTTTGTGTCTCGTCAAATTAATGACGAGACACAAGACAAAACTTGTGAGTCGTACACTGAAAAAAATACTAAATTTTTAAAAATATTTGTTTGAATAATTTTAAATAAATATTTACTGAATATAAACATATATTACTTGATACAAGAATCGCTGGGTTAAGTTGATTTAACTATTATTTTTTTATTAGTAATTTTTTTTTCAGTGTATGACAGATTTCGCGACACTTTGAAAACTTGTTACATTTGGAAAGAGTAATAGAAATATAAATTTGTATTCGTTTGAAAAAATAGCATAGGTTTTTTAATCGCGTTGCACCGCATGGAGAAAAATTTGAGAAAAGATTGGATGATTCAGTAAAGTATAGCTTGCTGCGCGAGTCTAACATTTATGACTAAAAAGATTTGATGGTTTAACACGAAAAGTCTGTTAGTAATTATTAGTATGATAATTTAGCTAATTCTTTACTACAATAAAAGTAGTGCTAATATAACAATAAAAATTACTAATATTTTCTTCATAGTAACAAAAATATGCGTCGCTTTAGCTAGCATGTTTCGTTAAAAATTTTGATCTACATATTGGATTGATTTTCGTAGAAAATTGCTTTACAACAAATATGATTACCTATAATTTCATTCAACTATATAACTAACTTTGTTGCGCTTTAACATAGAAACCTGGCTGTTCGTATATTACGACTGTAGATTTGCTGAATCAGTGAAGTTTTCAGTTTAACAAATCTTTTTTTTTCCATGTGTTTTTCTCGCAATATCTAATGTCGCGAAGGAAAAAAAAAAGACACCATTAATTTTCAAAAGAAGTTTTAAGAGAGTAAGTTGTTAATAATCTTTGAACTTTCAAGATTAATTTTCTTGGAAACGGAAATATTCGAGGAAATATTTATCCTCTATACTTTCGACTTATCTTCTTTATATATAGAATTATCCTGTTACCAGTTACGGAAAATCATATATTGCGCACAACAGCGGGAAAATATATTTGTAATTGGGATGAGGTAAACCGACGAAACAGAATTTTTACTGTATAAGGAAATTCATGTCTCTTCAAGAAAGATAATACGCGTTCAATATCTGTACTCGATGTATGTGGAGTGTTTCAAGACGATAAGTCAACACTTTAGAAAGACGTTGATAGTATGTCATTACAGAAAAAAAAGTTTCAACGAGTCTCTATCACAAATTGCAAAGAGATCGAAAATAAAACTTCAGCAAAAACTTCTGTCGCATAAAGCTCTAAAAGGATATGATATTTCTCTGTGACACCATTCAAAATGCTAATGTTAAAACTCCGAAAATTACTGCCTATATTCCTCCTTCGTTTATTACCGGAGACCGGATTTTGCTGTAGTTAACTAAACGAGCCAACACGCAGCGGTTCGCATTTACATAATTGAACGACAGATCATTTTTTACGCGGCGGCTTTTGCAATCCACGTCGAATTCTTGGAGACTGTTCTCTCGAAAATACACACATACACACACACACAATCGTCCAATTACGTAAATGTCAAACTTGACGTAGTAAACATGCATAAAATTGTCATCTATAATAAAACACGAGCCTTCATTTTATTATCGCGATAATTGTATATTTCTAGATTGAAACCGCCATTGTCGATCAAACTAAAAATTATTCATATATCATTAAACGATACTGTCAATTTTTCCTTTGATTATTATCCTCGTTAATAAGGACCAGAGTAAACTGCGCCATTTATCTCGCTCTCCTTCAATTACATCTTGTTTTACATTTTAATTGATCGACATTTAATCAATTTGATTGCTCTCCATATATTTTTTCTTTTCTTATAATTTAATAGTAATTGTGTCTTTGCTTAATCGAAATGTCTCTTTTGTATTTTAGAGCCACCAGTCGGCCGATTTGCTTCCAGAAGGAAGAGCAAAAAACGTTTTCGCGGAGACTTATAATCCCGAGGATGACGAGGAGGATGACGGCTTCAAGGTATATATATCACGTGTGTTATTGTTACTATTCCACGAATTATTACGCACGTTTCCGATAACAAGACCGTACGAATGAGGCATCATTTGCGAGGCATCTCGCGCGTCGCACATTTTTCCGAAAAAAAGAAAATAATTTGAAAAAGTGCCAATTGATTGAACAGATTACGTTCGCGATAAATTCCGCCACGATAAATTATGTTAATGCAACTGCGCCAATAATACGTAATGACGCTATTGGCTCGATAGTTGCTCGAACGATGGCAGATTTGTTTGTCCCAAAACGCCGTTTGGCCATTTCTCTTCTCGATATGCGTCACATCACGTTGCCGTCGGTTTTAGACTTTGTATCATCAGATGTTGCAATAGCCAATATTTTTTCCCAACAACGAGGCTTTGGAAGCATGCATTTTTTACGCTTGTCACGTCCGTCGAATTGGCGAAAACCGATGCGTCAATTGTAGCTGCGTAAGTAATCGTCGGGATCGCAAAAATACGTGTTTGGCCGAAGGAACAATCGTGTTGACGTAAGAAATTCCGCGCGAATATACTGAAATGTGATACGAGAGAATTAGCTGACTTTTTAATAAAAGTTAACATTTTCGCGGAGATTAAAATATTGAAATCTCGTCCCGGTCGGTCTCACTTTTGGCGTGATGCTGAATCGAAAGCGCGCTCTTATATGCGTCTCGTTAATTACTTATTTTCGTGGAGCGGCTACGGAAATCTAAAATCGGTCGACCCGAAGACGTGACGCAAAGTTAACCACGCAAGTAGAGGACGGATTCATATAATGCATTCGCATGTATTCGTTATCGCCAGTATTTCGCTTCGACGAGAAGTGGCGATGACGAACGTTCCGTCTTTGACATGGAGGTTTAGATTTTTTTTCGGTGGTAGCAGAAAATAGAGCCCCTCTCTCTCTCTCTCTCTCTCTCTCTCTCTCTCTCTCTTCTTTCCTCTCGTTACGAAATGTCGTTATACGCCGCACGTGTATATGTGTGTATATACGCGAGGTACATAATATATATCACAGTCTATTAAAGCATAGCTGGTGCACAGTCTCTCTCTCTCCCCCCTCTCTCCCTCTCTCTCTCTCTGTCTCTCTCTCTCGCGGCTTGCTGCCGCGCGAATGACGAAACGCGAACGAAGAGTTACTTTGCTCGGCGATGCGAGGTCGACGATGTACCTTTGTGACGTCAGGCCTCGTGTTCGATAACCTGGCACGGACGTGATTTACATGTATGTATGCATCATCGTCGTGTGTACGTATCGTACATACGCGCACGTGAATGAGGGAGAAAGGAACGTGTACGGTGTATGTGTATGTATGTATTTCTAGGGTAGTAAGGGGTTTTGCGAGGGGTCGGGTTCTCGACGAGAGAGAGAGAGAGAGAGAGAGAGAGAGAGAGAGAGAGAGAGAGAGCATTTTCACAAAGATAGCCCTGGTGAATCCGATTATCGTCATCCCGTGGTGGCTGGTTATACGAAGAGAAAATCGGCTATCTCTCTCTCTCTCTCTCTCTCTCTCCCTTATAGGCCGACCGATCATATTTTCTTTCTATATGCCACGACAACTAGAACAATAGCAGAGAAAACTGGGACACTCGCGATTTTTAGAAAGGCCGAGACTAGACAACTTCGACGTACATTGAAGCTCCTTAACCGTTTTACGATAAAAGGTACATCAGATTCGCTCGTTCTTCTTTAACGGTGAATTTCTCGGTCAATTTGGAGTCGATTTTTCCTTAGCGAAGATGCGCTTATAATACCCGCGTTATGAGTAAGAAAGAAGAGTTTTACGCGAATCAAACTTTAGGACTCCGAATAGAAAAAATATCCACACTCAGCTAAATTCTTCAGTTAAAAATGGAATTTTTAACTTTAGGCAATTGAAAAAATACATGAAAACACTGGAGAGTTGTGAAGATAGAAAAATCGATTTTAAATTGTGGCATCGAAAGCTCTATCGTTAAAATATATTACGCGCGGCGACAAGAAACAAAACACCATGCGCGATAGAAAGGATAACGCGCCGAATACGCGATGAAATAACAGTTTTACAAATGGCAAACGTCGACAAACGGTTGACCCTCGGTAAAGTTTTAATCATACGATACACGCGGCCCGGCTGCACAATAGTGCGGCAGATGGGACACGTCGGTAATGGGAACGAGGAGGTTCCCTGCGAAATTGATCGTTTCTGTGTGCATTACAATTGGCGACGATAACAAAACAAAAGAACCAGCCGCTCTTGTGGAGAGACCGATTACCGCGTATGCACTTGCTGCAAACGAGGGATATTGCTGGTCGCAATAACGGCGCAAGTCGCCAACGTGCAGACGGGAGTGAGAAATTTTAAAGGCGAATAATTTTAATGGCAGAGGCGCGACTTTTTACGAGCAGAAGAATTAAGGTTTAAACGAATAACGTAACATTAACAGCAGCTTCGGCGAGGGCACTCTTGAAGAATGGAATTTTTTAATTCCAGGGCTGTTTCCCTGTGTAGAAAATATGTACCGATTATAGTTATTATGTACTTCGTAAATACTTCTAGACATTAAGGAGTTTTTGCAATAACGTGAATTCAGATATGGTGAACGCTAAAATCACGCTATCCTTTTCTTAATTAGTTGTTAGGAAGAAGATAACTTGACTTTAGCGTTCACTGTATCTGAATAAACGCTATTGCAAAAACTCCTTATTAAAGGTACCACATAGACGTTAAATATCCTGAACTTTACGCTATTATTATATTAAAAAATAGCAAGGCTTTATTGCGTAACTTTTATGCATGACCTGTGTGACGTTTTTATTATTAATAAATTTGCTAGGAACTCTATGCAAAATCGTACAGCTTGATAATCTTTAAAATCTGAAAAACGATGCACTCTCTCTAAAATAATAGCAAGTGAAGCGTGGGAGAGGTCAAAGTTCACCGTCCAACATATAAAGGGCAAGATCTCAAGTTCTAGTCAAACTGTTGAATTTGCTCGTTGTAACTTTTACAGAGGATTTCGAAAGATCTTATTGCATAATTTCTAGAAGTTAAATATTACAAGAATAAACAGTAAAAATTATTGAACATAGTAAATATATGGATATAATGATTAAACGCAATAACTCAATACATATGTTCATTTATTAGATAATAATATCACTTCTTATACACAAACGAGAATATAAGTTTAATAAATCAAAAATGAACGAAACACTATATATTTCACATAGTTTTCACTTGTTCAGATTGCACATTAAATCGTTTTCTAATTATTCATCAAGGGAAGAAATTTTCTCTGTAGAGACAACGAAGTGACGTCTCAATTATACAGGCGCCTTAATAATAAATTTAGAAGTTTTGTCTAGCTACATTTTACTCAAACTTCATTTTGTCTTCATACGGCTCATTGATTTCAGATGGTCCATCCAAAGAGCGACGAGCAGCGACAAAGGCTCGGTGAAAGCGTTAAGAACATACTCCTATTTCGCGCTCTAGACGAAGTAAGTTAAACATAGTGCATTCAACATGATCGCAAATAGGATTGGTATAACACCGACTTGATATATTTGCGCCAGTTGGGCGAAATACCAAGAAAATCACGAATAATCTCTCATTAAGAGCAATCGGTTTTGCCAGCAAAACGATTCGCATAATTGAGATAATTGTTTCTTTCATTAGCGACGCATTTAAATATAAATTACTGGTCGTTACTTGACTAGTGGATAATGTTAAACGTTATAGTTATCTACTTTTTCAATATATTCTATTTATTTTTAATATATGTATATTTAATATATTATTTTTTTATATATTTATTTAATGTTTTTTTTAATATATTCTATTTCAATTTATTTTATAATCTTTAATTTTTATTCGATATACAATTACACACATCAATTTATCCAACGTCGAAAATTGAGAATCAACGAAAACAGGAGAGGTCTAAAAATTTTCACTTAGCAAAAATTGATTTTGTATCGGCCAAGAATCAATTACGTTAAGAGGAAATATGTATAATGATGAAAGACCTTTATATACGTATATAAATGTATTTATGTACGTAGAAGCACGTACATCGATTATCACCGCGATATTAACGTTACTCCCCCTGCTTGCGTACTACAATATTAAAGTCGATATTTTAAATCCCGGACGATAATATTGCGCTAAAACGTATTTAAACGTGTATAATAAAATTACTTTTGCAGGAACAAATGGCGGACGTACTGGACGCAATGTTCGAAAAAATCGTTCAACCGGGAGAATTTATTATCCGGCAGGGCGACGATGGTGACAACTTTTATGTGATCGAGAGGTAATACTTTTTCTTTATATATTACAGTTAACGTATCGATAGGCTTCTCCCTTCAGCGGGAAGATCCAGTGAACCAAGAGGGGATGCACACAGTCGATCAGTGCTTTTATTCAGAGCTGAAAATATTCAAACAATAATGCTTAGTAATCTAATTATTTTTGATTGTTTATTTTATCGGAATTTGAAACTATCCAGACAAAACAGAAATATACATAATTGTTTTTAATCTTTTATCTTCCATTTCTGATTGTCTCTATTTGTCGCATTTCGTGTTTCAGAGGAAAGTTCGAGGTGTACGTCAAAGACCTCGCCACAACAACAGAGAATCATATTCACACTTACGACAATCGTGGTGCTTTCGGAGAATTGGCTCTTCTGTACAATATGCCTAGAGCAGCCACTGTCAAAGCTATTACGTCTGGCACGCTCTGGGCCATGGATAGGCAAACTTTCCGACGTATTCTTCTTAAATCAGCTTACAAAAAGCGCAAAATGTATGAGAATCTTATTAATAAAGTGCCGATGTTAAAGTCTCTGGAGGTAAGTATTATATAACTATTTATATAATTACTTTTAAAGACTTCGAATGTTTTTTTTTTTTTAATTTAAATCTTAAATAGTTCTCGAGTTTTTATTTTGAGATTAAATATATATTCCATATTTTCTTTATCAAAAGCATTATTCCTCTTCTAGTTAAAAAAAAATATATTTAAATAAAAACAAGAAATAATTTTTAAAATATCAACTCCTACGAGACTTGCATCGTATTAAATTCTTCCAGGCTTACGAGCGGATGAATTTAGCGGATGCCCTTGTACCGAAACAGTATTCCGATGGCGAGCAAATAATCAGGCAGGGCGACACCGCAGATGGAATGTACTTCGTCGAGGATGGCGTAGTCAGAATCACTAGACTCGGCGAACACGGTCGTGAAATTGAGGTACATTTATATTATACGCTAATCCGATTTCCCGCAAAACGATCCGATTACGTCGACGGTGAGCGCCAAGAAAATTTTCTTCTTACTTAACTCGGGACCTTTAATATCCTACAGATTAATCGTGTTCCGGCTGGCGGTTATTTAGGCGAGCTGGCACTCGTGACGCATAAACCACGCGCCGCTTCGGCCTACGCTGTGGGAGACATCAAACTGGCATGTAAGTTTATTTCATTACTGCCCACGTTTCCTGAATTGATAGGTAATCAATAACATTGTGCCGAGTAATTGCGAATATTGATATTCGTCGCAGCTTCGGCTTGTTAAATGATGGGAGATAGTCATGATATCTTCTCTCTCTCTCTCTCTCTCTCTCCCTCTCTTTGTGCATATTAAATCTATTCTGAAATGTTCTATGTATAGAATGCCACACTTTATATATATATATATAATGGATGTATACAAATAACAATTTTGCTTGTCTAAAATTATTATTTCATTCACTGAAACCGTCATTCCTTACGCTTACAGTTTTGGACGTCGAAGCTTTCGAACGTTTACTTGGTCCATGTATGGAACTTATGAAACGTAATATCGACGATTACGAAGAACAACTAGTCAAAATTTTTGGCAGCAAAACCAACATCTCTGACATTCGATGAACTGTTTCTGGGCAGAGCCACGTCGCCATACTGCTGTACTAAAGGACGCGACACTTTCGTACAGCATATAATATATAACAAGCACAAAAGAACTTGTACCACCTACTTCTGAATCTCATCCCGCGTGTTTCGGGTATCATTTCGGAGTCAACTGTTTCGTATGACTGTTCACCTAGACGTATACCGAGTAAGATTCGTCGATAATAGTTACCAAGTTTATACCTACGACACACATTGAACAAAGCTGTAGGCTGCTCGATTATATGCGCGTGTTTAACGTAACAACACGGTATTAATGACTATTCTCTAAGACTGTATTGGATCAAAAAGAGAGTATTAGTGCATTCTGTTATGCTCGATCGTTTGCGAAATAAATATCTTTATTTATTATTGCCCCAGTGAAAGACCACAATATAACATTTTGAGGTCTAGGACATACAAGCATTATTATAGTATTTAACTTATCCCCGGAATGACTCAAGTTTATCTCAGTGTATTCAATCTATATGCTCACACACACACACACACACACACACACACACACACACACACACACACACACACAATTCGTGTATACTCTCGTGCATTATCCATTTTTAAACAGATCAGCGGCTACATTTATAAGACAGAAGTCTAGAATATTCGAAATCGAATGCTCTTCTAACACTACTCTCTGGCAAAAAAAGATAGATTACAAGAGAAATGACCACATTAGTAATTGAATATTGACATAAATCTTTTGCAAGGTTTCTATGAAATACCTATATATATGCATATCACTCTTGGAGATAATGAAAGTAACATTGCCATTTTTAATGAAAACAAACAGAATTGTACAATATTCTTTGATACATCCATTTAACAATGTTACATGTAATATCTTGATAAAATATCAAATCAGACAATCAAGATTTTGTCTATGATTCGCGATAAGTAGTAAATATGCATTTCGCGAATAAATATGCACATATACATACACAAATATGCATCATACGCACATAGTGGAAGTAATTTTTTAATTTATAATGTTATTTTACATAATTATTTACGATTAAATTAGTACATTACGCACATAGTAGATTTTTTAAAAAAGCAATTATTTTCTAATAAAAGTAAATTCTGAAAAGAATTATATATATTTCTTTATTAATAGAAATTGATAAACGCCAGAGTCGTATATAAATGCATTCTATTTCGGATATAGAGTACTCTCAAAAGATGCATAGAAAGTCCAGATCTAAAGGAGCCTTAAAATTGACTTAAATGCGCGGATATAATGATGTAAAACAAATGTATACATTGCGCGTGTACGTGTACAAAGTAATTTAAAAGAAAATATGTATAGCAACTTGCATACAAATGTTAAATGAGAAGAAAGGGGTATAACATTTTCTAATTACTTTGTACTTGCATGTATCAGATTAGGTGAATATTAGCGTAAAAAAATAACCGCGTGTTTAAGCCAATGTTAAATTCAAGTGTGTCTTGCTGATAAATAATGGTAACTTGAGGATTGATTACGAGAATCCGTCAACTTATTTTTATTACATGTGTACAAGACACGTTACGTATATGACGATATACATCTATCATGGTGATAAAAGTCCAGTCAAAAATCAATTCAATTATTGTATGGACAAGTGCGAATGCTAGTCACTTTTTATGACCGTGTTTTTGTCACGCTCTCTTCTGACAATTATATCGGTTGAAAAAAGAAAAGATACTTTTTATTACGGTAAACCGTGTATTTACTATATGACTGAATCTCGCGATGAAGCGGCAGGGCTTTTTAAATAATATCACAATCGTGTGAGGGAGAAAAGGGAGACTAGTATGAAAGTAAAACAGAGGATAGCATAGAAATTGTTAATCAATTATTTATATAGGAATTGTATCAATTATTCTTCACTTACGATACCGATGCCTTGCATGGCCTTATTTTTTCTTTTTTCTTCCCGTGCATGACTTATTTTCTTATTAACAGCTTAATCAAATCTCGTGGAATTCTTTAAGTAAATAGTTAAATTGATTCAATGGATATCTCAACGCGCAATTTGAAAATAATTCACACTTGAATGTTAATGATTGAAAAACAGTTTGTTTGAAATATAATATCTTTAGTCTTCCACTGAATCTCCAGGCTGTGATATTATTTTCGACTGAGTATTTCATTCCTTTCTTGTAATCACTTACAAGAAAAATAAAAGAATATCATAATCATTAATCGAATTTGCGAGACATCAAACTGATGAATTTATTTTAAATTCAACCAACGTATCTCTATATGTAAGTGAGATAGAAATTTTAATGGATTAATAAAAGTGACTCGACTGTTGGACACGAGAAACTCTACACGTATCGCAAAAGAAAAAAAAAAGAAAAAACAAAAAAAGAGCTGATTCGCATACTGAGTAAACTCAATACGCATAAGTACTTACTTGTGTTAGATTACATTCGCTAAATTAAGTGTGAAGTATTGAAGTTAGAATCTGTCCAATTCGCATTGCTGTATGTATCTATCATGAGATTTATCTATGTTGCGTATTGTCGTTTATGTGTGAGCGTGAATGTGTTTGCATGTGTATATATGATGATCGAGCCAGTAATTAATTAATTTATGTTGTTACTATTAATAGTTGCTATTAATAGTTTACACTCTCCAATAGTTGTATAATTCATGTTATCGTCATTAAAGGCAATATATATCGAAATATGTCCTACGGATAAATATTGTAACAGTAGTATGCCTTATTGTGCCACTGGATCTTCGTCTTTCTGCTTTCAAAGGAAGAAAGATTTAAGAAAAATCGAAGATACAGATTTTGTTGTATATCCGCAATCTACACTGCTGGATAAAACGATTAGACACTTTAGTAAATTTTAATAAATGCCTTTGTAAGTCAATAATATTAGCGAATTAAGAGTTTACGATTTCACATGGGCGACAAGACATTGACTTGTATTATTAAGTATTACTTATAAGATAACTAAGTAACTTATTTAAAGATTTATTCATAATAATTTAATAATATTTTGTTCATAAATAATTATTAATCAAGAAGGCGTCTTGTAATTAAAGTCCTATTGTTTCTCTTTCAGTTAAAAATTGATTACAAATATCATTTGTTAAAATATTATTTGAACTTTTTTATTGTTATATATTTAATATAAACTCATGTTCTAGTAATTTTTTCACGGTGTTCTGTCATTATGTCCAGCAATGTATTATCATGTATTCACGTGTTATATCGATGGGCATTCACTTCTCTTTCCTGCAAATTTTCAATTTAGATAGCATGAAATTTTGAATGATTTCGAATATTATTGAAAATTATAAGTCTTAGTAAATCTTCAATACCTTGAAGAACTAGTCTTAAAAAATCTTTAAAACTGTTGAAATTCTTAAAAAAAAAATACGTTAAAACGAATTCTTGAAAAGTAGTTTGATAGCGAGAAAAATTAATTTTATATTTCAATATTTAAACAAAGTACATTACAGCTGTGAATCACTGCTTAAGTTAATATTAACATCATGATTTATACAAAGAATAATCTCAATTATTTTCTTAATTTAAAAATATACATATTTCATATACAATGCCATGTACATTTATCACAAAAACTTTTAATAAACGCAAACATTTCAAGATTTTTAAAACTAAGAAGACTTTTAAAGTTATCTTTTCACTAGTCTTTCAAGAACTTTATTTTGAATAATATTCGAAATAATTCGAAACTTTCATAATGACTCAAAGCACTTGTTTCAGTCCATCATTAGCTACATTGCAATTCTAGTCCAGAGCGATATGCGACATAGAGAAATGTTTCCGACCAAATAGTATGTATCGAATCAGAGAGATAACGAATTAACGGCGGATATATATCCGTAATGGATAATAATGTGCCAGTAATACTTAGTTATCACGTTTGACTTATGTTTTTCCTTATGCAACGATATTCCTAATGTTTTAATTTATCAAGTGTATTGTTAGTAGCTATTGTATGTATTAGCAATGTGTCATTGTGCACGTAACAGTGCACTTTACATCGGACCAATTTCAAGGAGCAATTGAGCTTGCGACTATTTTTTCTTACTTTTACTCTTCCTTCTTTCTATATATCTTCAGCTTGTTCTTCGCCGATGTAAAAATCCGCTGTATATTTCAAAATGTCATGCGCACTAATAACTTTACTGCCTCTGCTGTGAGTCACGGTAATTTTAAATATTATTTTCACGTGTGTGCACCGTGGCTGTAAAACTATATGAACTTATTAAAGTCCTATACATGTGGTTCGACAAATATCTGCACAAATTTTCAAGTAATTCTCAATTTCTTGCATTAATGCACTTAAAGAAAGCACTTAAGGAAAGCAATACGAGTCTCAAACTCGATTGCGTGCTGACAATCGTCCGGTGTTATCACAAGAACATTTATATTATTAATAGTATCTTGATACTTTGTTTCTTCTTTTAGAAATCTCTATTGGCATGTAAATATCAAAATTTATACGTTTTTTATCCACACTACACTTCTTTCTTCATAAATGGATACTTCTAATATTAATGTTTCGAGAAAAAGAGATTATGCTTTTAAATTCCTTCGACAGTGACAGCATACAAGTTAATGCATCGCAGATGTTTACGTACAATTATAGAATAAAATAAAAGAGAAGAATACACTTCCTATATGCGATTAAATAAAAACAATCGGGCAAACATTGGGACATTTGAGGGCCCAGAAGTGTATACGTCTCTCTCTTCGCGTGTGCCCATTATGTCCCATTTTCCATTATGTCTTCGAACCAAAGCATGATAAAGAGGAACCTCTCTGATTGTATGTGAATGTTGAATAAATTTAGAATATATATAATTAGCCTTAAAATGTGTCTATGTACACGTTGCTTGAAACGTATTATATAAGAATATTATATAGCGGATCAGAATGGTTCTCCTTGTGTTCCATTAGTCATGTAAGTCTTTTAGTGAATTTCTCGGATGAGTTATACGTGCCGTTTAAAGCGAACCGCGTCAAAGCTTACTGCAAAGTATGTTTTTCATTTTGTAATCCGTTCGACGACGTATTCGCCTGGTGTGTCAAAATTCCTCATATCTTTGAAAAAAGAGAAACGATAAAAAAGAGAAAAGTGACACACATTTAGATACGTAATCGTTTTTTAAGAATAATCGGTATATCTGTATACATATCGCTTATTTTATATTTTAATAAGACTCCGCAAAGTGTTTCTTTTAAACGTGCGTATATCCATTATTATTATCCGTATCCCATATGTTTGATAACATTGTTTGGAGTGCGGCCCTCTCCACCTGTACATTTAATAGATTTTATACACGACACATGCGCATACGTAGGAACGTTTTTAGGTATAACAAACTGTTGTAAATTACAAAATGGTACGTACTTAACGCCCCTTCGTTTCGCAATGTGTTATAGTATTGTATAACGAAATATGTGTATATATATGCATATATATATGTATATATACTTTATGTCTATATATACATATATATATAGTATATTGTACACAATTGTTATACATATGTATGTCGACACTCGTTTCCAGCTGGTCTGATCGGGTATAATTCTAATAATTATAATGTGTTGACCTGGCAGCGATATGATTCGAAGTAATCTAGAGCCAAATGCGCAATCACACGATCCGATTTATTGTACGATACGATACAGATGTATGTCCATATATAATTTGTTAATATATATATCGAGAAGTAAATAGATTTTACTAAAGATTTCTGTATGCTGAGCAGCAGGTTTATCTACATATAATAGATAAGTGCAAACCGAGGTAATAAGATAATCGAAGGACGAGGGTAAATTGAACGAGTACTTGTGTGCGCACGCTTTGTAATATAAATTTGTAAGACGCGCGTCACATGTCGTCCAGTTTCTTTTTCTTTTTCCGATAATACAAAACTACATTTATACAAAGAAAACGAATCTTGTCGCAGACGCTTACAGTGCTGTAATACTTATGCCAATTATGCTTATATTATATAGCTCAAGATAGCCCAATCGATAATTGAAAATCAGAAAACTCGCTTTTGTGTGCTTATATCTCACCGATATCTAGTAGTTAATTAAGTTTCTCGTTGATTTCTATATTTCATTTGACGGTTTGTAGCAAATGACAATGTCTTTAGACATATTTTCATATAACTCGTTGAAACTAAAAGATTTGAATCTTCTTAAAAAGTAATCCTAATTTAATTAATTATTAATTATCATGACAAATTCTTTCTTGTTGAGTATTTAATAGTTTATATTTTCTAAATGTTTCTCTGCTCGATACAAAAGTGGGATACAGATTCTCAACGGCATATCTATATATGTTCAACAACACATACTAATACTGACATGCACAGCCATATTGACAAACTGGAATTAATCGAATGAGCTTATTCACGCATACAGCTGATGTAATTTATCATTATACTCATCTTTTCGTACAGGTTGTCGTAAAAAAGTTGGATGCTGTTTTAAAGGTTGTGCTTAACAGAACAAGGAGAGCAATTTACATAAAGCAGATCTCCTAAATTGCATAATGTTATGATCTTCGCGTCTTTACAGTCGTCATCATTGCAGTTCGCTATTGTATTCACTTTTACCATCACAACATTCCCTTTAAACAGCTTCCAAATCCTTTCCGCGATACTCGACGCGCGTAAGCTGAGCTCGGAAGTTCATGTGCGTATTTTCGCGATGGAGCCTAAGCGCGGTTGTAATCCAAAGTCAAGTCTCAGACATGCAGTGGAAAATAAATATTCGATGTGTCTCCCTTTATGCTTGATCAGCTAACATTTCGTACACGCTTGTCACACAGCGTCACTGCCCGAGATTAAGTAGCGGGGCATTTGATATTTCCCCGTGTAACATCGTATCTCACAGTCGTCGTGATTTCATACATCTCGGCACAAAGAATTCTATAGAAGGATGTATATTCAGTTCGCCAGGAAACTTCTCGTGTCCCATTCGCGAGGCTTCGCCTCTTACTGTTGTATACTCATTCAGTGGCTCTGCAAAATATCGTCCGGGTGATCCTATTTTTCTGGCAAACGCCCCGGTACGTTGTACAATCTTATATGAAGTAACCGGATGCGAGTTTGTATTCGAGCAGCAACAATATACACTTGGTATACTATAAATAGATAGCATAATAAAAAGTGAGAATATAATAAATGAATGGACCTGTACAGAAGTCTATTGTATTTATTATTATTGGTAACTCACGTTTACGCACTTTCGATTCTCGTCACTACAAATAAACTATTTTAAATGAAATACGAAGCTGAATGTTTTGCGTATTACGAGAATTGCCAACATCCCTCTTATAATTTTAATCCACTGAAATGGCAGAATAAATGTAGGTAAAATTAATCACACATTGGAACATATAAGTGACATTAGTATTTATCTGAACGATATTAGAAAACAAAAGTACAAAAAAAATCTTTTGCAAATTTTTTTAGTCTTTAAGTTCTTATCGTATTATAAGTGTGTAAAGTAATACTTACTTTATTACAGCAGTATGTCTAAATAATTGTAGTTGAGAGATTTTCTGTTTTATGACATTTGATTTCTTTCCTTGATTATGATACAAATATAACAGATTTTCATTAGGATCAGTTTAACAGGTACCGGAATTACTCTTTCTTTTTTCTGTTATATAGATTGAAAAATTTATAGAAAAGATATTATTTATTCACACCGTAAGCAACCTGTTCACTTTACAAAATATATTCATTAATGTTTTAATATTTTTTGGCTTTGTTATTAAATTAATAACAATAACATTACGCTTTATAAGCTTCGAGAAGCTTTACGAAGGATCATGTCAGTTCTTTTATGTAAAGTTCTACAAAAGCTAACGCTATCAATAATGGCCAACCAATCTGTTCTTGACAAACAGAATTTTGTATATTATACATATTTCTTAATTCTGTTTCTATTAACACTTTTGGTTCCTTTGTTTTTATTAATTCGTCGCTTTCCTGCAGTAGCTTTTGCAGCATATATTGTGTGGAAATCGTCTCGTTGTCTACTACAAGTCCATAGATTTTCCGTAATACATGCTGTCGAAGTATACAGATGTTGTTTGCCACAAACTCTGTGGTGTCTGAAAAATATATATTATAACAAAATATTTATATTAAATTTTTCTCCCATACAATATATAGCAAAAATATCAGCATAATAACGAAGACACTTGTCTTTTGAATTGAATGATAATTGCAGTTAGAAATCTTTACACTTAAAGACGAATCGACCTTAAATTGCCATTAAATTTAGATTGTCATAAAACAATAATATAAATTAGGAAAGAATATTATGTTTATTAATCAACAATCTTAGTCAACAATTTTTACTTCCCTTTATAAAGAAACATTTCTCCAACTCATTAATCACTGTGGCTATATGACGGATAAAATACAATTTTTATACCATTAAATGTACTATCGTCAACCATCGTCAGGTGCGTCAAAATGATAGTGCCTATTATAGACTGTTGTATAAAGTTCTGATAACACTGAGAGTTTTTTATATGGCCTGTATCACCATTAATCTCTTGCATTATATACCGATCGGCTTTCGGTAATTTTTTAGCGATTGGTAGTGTCTAAAAAAAAAGTTGTGATAAATATAAAATATCTATTCTATTTAACAGCAACTCTATAAATAACAGGTTCATTTTATAAAGTAAATAATAAAAATTTTTTAATGCTTTAATATTTACTGTTTGAAGTAAAGAATGAATTTTTTCTTTTTTTTCTTTTCGCGGAAAAGATTTATAGCTCCACTGTAATACTTCACAATTGCGGTTTAATAATGACCAACTTATGATGTCATGTCCAACGTATATGCCTAATACTGTGTTAACATTCTGTAACATATAAAAAAAATGAATAAAAATGCATGAAGACAAGAAAGAAAGCTAGTAATTTTTTATATAATTCTTTAACTAGAAAATTAAGAATATTTCTTGTATACTTTATGATTATTTCTAGTACTTTGTGGAGTTACAACTAGGTTTGACATATTCTTTTTAGGAATTTTCCTTTCCTTGCCATATATAATTGATTTGTAAAAATTATATATCCATTTGTTATTCATACTCCATACTGGTAAATCATCCAATGATTTAAACAGTCCATTATTTTCACGATATGATTCTAATTTCTGTGCATGCTTCTTAGTAATGGAATACCTTTGCAAAAATGATTTTAACAATCAATGCACGATCAAAAATTTATAATATCATTGTGTGTAAATTCAAGAAATTTTCTTACATAAATAGTTAACTCACTGTAATAAATCATCTGCGGTTTTGTTATTTATTACTTGGAGAATTTTCTCTTTATCTTCTGGAGAGAAAAGATTCATATCAAAAGTTTTAGTGCACTTGCTTGTTTTAAAATCAGCAATTACACTTAGTGTCCAATCCTTATAGATCTGTAAACCGAAAAATGAAACAGAAAATATAAAATTTTTTAAATTCTAAAAAAATATTTAAAATTTCTGAGAAGTTATAGAAACAAAAAAATATATGAATTCATAAAGTTTACATGAGATATTATTGTAAAATCAACTCTCTTACGTACTTGCTATTAAAAAAATTACTAACCTCAATAATTGCAAAAAATTTACACAATATAAAACCTTACCTCTCTCTGCACTCTTTGATTTTTAATAATTGTACTAAAAAATCTCGTGAGTATTCTGTTCCACATTTTGTTATGAAATTACTGATATCAAATGTGATGCAGCTGATCACTAACCATTTTACTTATACATTCAACTAGTTTCTACTTAATTTCATAAATGTGTGATAAAAGTCAATTTCCAAATAATATAAATAAATATTCATATGTAAGTACTGCAGAATCTGTATTGCACCTGTATTTAAATACAAAATAGATATATTAATTAGAGCTTGGAGCATGGAGAGAGAAAGAGAAAAGTACAGAAAGTTCTCGCGTTGCTTGGCACTTTCTGCACTCAGCATCTTCGCTTTCTTTCTTTTCAGCGCCAAATATATATCTATCTCATTTTAAGTGTAAAAAAAATGTATGCAAGTCGAACAGAGCTAAGTTGGCTCAGCTGTTGTTAGAACATATCAGAGAATTTGGCTACCTTGGATTGGTTACACTGGACTCAGCTGGCTAACTGAAAATTCAAATTCCTTTTGGAATCTCGCCATCGATAGATTTTCGCACTGTCTCGCAGATTCTTGAAGTTGACAGACAAGTTCAGCGAGAGCAAACGAAAGGTTTGTGAATGTTGTGGTTTTGCGTATTACCTCACGAAAATAATTATGCAGCAGAGTTCAGTGAGACGTAGATCGTCTAGTAATCCGGTAAGAATATCAGCGATCGAACGGGATGACAGAAGCTTGACCCGAACCACCGATCAACGAAAAACACAAACATTAAGGAAATCAAAGGGAACGGGTGAAGCTTCACATATTCCCAGGCCTCGTTTTAGAAGCTCTTCCAGCGACCGAGCAGGATCACTTGGCAGAAAATCGTATTTGAAAACGACAGGTAAAGCATCGCATATAAAAGCATATCGAAAATTCTTATTTTTTTCAATTATTTAAGGGTTGACAGAGAAACTATGGAGACCTCTGTTAGAAACGAATTCTTTTGTGCTGAAATTACAGCTAAAATATCGAAAAAATTACGATATTCGCAATCAAGAAAATCACTTGAATATGGACCCTGAGACTCGTACAGAGCGTTTTCTTTTTTTTTTTTTTTTTTTTTTTTATTTTTTTTTAAGAAGTAAAATAGAAATTTATTTGGCTATCTTATTTGATCTACACTATAGTGCAGATAATTTTATTTATTATAATGTTTTAAGAACCAAATTGCAAAATCCGGCTCTGTAACTTCGTAGTTTCATTAAAAAGAAAAACTAAAAAGTTCTCAACGCAATATTATTTCTAGGAGATAAAATATCAGCATGTATCTGCATCGCGAATAATTTATTTATTATACGTTAAATTACAAATCTGATCTTTAACGGGCTTCGTAAAAAAGGCTTCTTACCAAAATATTTGTTCTACAATAGAATATATAATGGGGCTATGATTACACGATTACGCGTTTAGTCCGCGACCTCTGCGATCTAAATAATGGGCATCCTTGTTTAACCTATAGGTTAAACAAAAACCTCTATCGTATAGGTCGCGGTGTAAACCAGGCCATTAACAGATATCTTCATTGCAAATGAAATAATATAATTGATATAAATGAGTTGGCTCGTCACTCCTGTCGACTTATATGAGCCAGCATAGCATAAAGTGTTTTCAACGAAGCCAAAATTTAATTTAAAATAAAAAAATTAATAATCTTAAGGCTCGATAAATTAAAATAATGAAGGTGAAAGTTAGATAATTGCATTATCTTTGTATTGTTTGATAATTGTACAATTGTATTTATTTTCATTTTTCTTATTTCTATTATGTTTATCTTGTAAGTTACTGTAACTTGATCACACTGAGAATGATCTTACTATTGGTCGAAATGTATTTTTAATGTAATTTGCAAAATCAATTTTGTTACAATTAGATCACTAGGCTCATTAACTCACTTCCACCTTTGTGATGTAACTTATTTGATTTAATTCGAGATATTCAGATTTTTATTTAAATCTATTTTTGACCTATGTATGTGTAGGAAGGACTCCACTACGTCAACCGACAACTCCAATCACCCCAGCAAAAATTTCCACTAAGCTCAATATACCAAACGCAGTACTTACAGCAAGTTCTAGCAGGCATCATGTGTCAGGATCGATGCGTCGATCGCCGTCTGGCGAACGTGCTAGCAGCGTGGGCACTAAAGGTCCTAGAAAAGACACAAGACCCCTAAATGATAAGACTTATCAGACGGTCCTGCTAAACAAAATAGATAATTTCTTTTATATAAATCAATACTCAACGATGCTAAACAGCAATGGTAGTTTGAAACCGATTACATTGAAGATGTTTGTGGAAGTTTCTGGCTTCCTATTGAAGTATCTTGATGTTAAACATGATCTCACAATAACAAATTACGTAGATGAATTACCGAAATGTGCAAAAAAGCTACATTATCCTGGCGTGATGACCAAATCGTGGCTAAAAACTGCTAATGCAATGCATTCGTGGCCCTCTGTTCTTGGTTGGATCGGTTGGTTGGTAGAAACGTGCCAAGTGAAAGAAATCGCGTTCGATAAATACCAACTAGAAACTTTGCCGTTTATAGGAACGGAGCAGCAGGCTCAAAGTTACAAAATGGAATTTCACGCACTGTTGGAATGCTATAAAGCTTGGAATGACGAAAAACACGATGAGGAAGCAGAATTATTGGAACAATATTTGCAAAATGTTTTAGTTCAACAAGGTATTACTGATGATGATATAGCTCAGGCACAAAAAGAATTGAAACAAGAAGAAATAAAGTTACAAATGCATGAAGAAGAATCACATAAATATGACGAAAAATTGGAATATTTACAACAAAAATTAGTGTCTTTACGTGCCAAGGAGTCTCAACAATTAAGCAATATTAAAATTATGGAGGATTCTATAGAAAAGGTTTCCGCTGAGACAGATCAATTAAATGCAGAACGTACAACTTTAAAGGAACAAATTCGGATAGGAAATATACAATACGAAGAATTAATCTCAACTGTAAAAAATCAACCAATGTCTAAAACTGAAAAAGAAAACATTGTTAAAAAATGTACAGAGATTCAAAACTACATACACCAATTTGATGAGCATTTGAAAGATTACCAAAAGGAATTGTACTCTTTAGATATCAAATTTGCAACTTTCAATACTAATCTGAATAAAGCAATATTAGCATACAACAAGGAAGTCTTTATGCATATTGATAACGATGTTGGTGTAAATTTCGATGAATTAAAGCTCCCGGAAAAAGGATTGTTAGATCCACAGATAATGGATGTAATGCAAGAAAAGGCCACTTTAATAAAAACATTCAAAGAAATATTGATGAAGCAATGCAACGAGACAGAGTCTCTTATTCGTTCTGACACCGCGAAATTGGAAAAAGTGCAAGAAGAAATTAAATCTTTGCCAGATGAAAGCAAATTGAAGGAGGAAATATCTCACATTAATAAAATGAAGGCAAATGCAAAAAAGAAAAAAGCAAAACTTACGAAACACATAGAAGACCTGAAAAACGAACTTAAAGAAATGCAAGATATGATGCCAGATGTACAAGCGGTAGACTTCGAAATAGAAGAGGCACGAGACAAATTAGATGCAGTCATGAGAAGAAAAATATTTTTAGAACAAGCTGCTAAACAATTTTTTGGAGATTTTTATAAAATCATCAGCGAACACAGAGGAGAGCTTCATAATATTTTAACAAAAGATAGAACAAAATAGAACTACATATCTGTATAAATATTTTTATAATGTCCATCCTTATATCCTATTATTTGCATTACAATCTTAATACACACTATATTGTATTATATGGTATCAGAGTTGTGTTATTAAAATATAATATATATACAAAAATGTTTATTTCAAATAAAAGATTTTATAAATATGTTTTCATATATCGCAGGACTCTTATGCGCATGTCACTTACGTACAAATAAAATAGATACATATTCTTGTCTCGTATCTTTTTCTTTTTTCTTTTTTTTACAAAATGATGCAAATTCTAGTATGTAAAATATTTTTATTCTATTAGTTTTATATGTCATGACAATATGTAACTCGCGTTTTCTTTTTTTTCTTTTTTTTTAGTTTTAACATCCTCTGATAGTGATAAATTACACAGTTGAAACAAAACGTCTCTTTTAACTCCATAATGTACTTACATTAATAGTTGAATAATAAAAAAAATGTTAACGAGCACCATATATACAAGACATTACATTCAAATAAAACATTCGCCTTTCGAGAATTAATTGTATTTTACAATTCGTTTCATTCTTAAATATCATGAATAATTGATCTTCTACTTGAGGAGTAACTTTTTAATTAGCTTGCTGTATAATTTTACTTCGAACGTCGACAATGTTTATATAAAAAAATGTTAAAATAACTTTTGTTCGAAACATGACATATGCCTCATAATAGAAATAGGAAATCATGCTCCAACTAAATATTGGAATGTGAAGTATATATATCTATATTATAATTATCTATTTAGTATAAATATTATGCTTGTTATCGACAATCAAATTATGATCAACCATATCTGATATTTTAGAAGTCACTCCTCAATTATGCCTGAATGTTGTTATTTAAACTATAGCTAGGTCCCGACTGCCATCTTTATCTTAATTTAATATGTACATATATGTATATGAAATATCGTAATCAGTGTACGATATTGATTAAAATGCATTGAGATATTTAATATAATTGGTTTTAAAGAATTTGCAATTCTTCCTAGTTTATTTAAAAAATAGGTTTTTAAATAAAAAAAAAAAAAAAAATTCATACATATCCCCAATTTTTTCCATTAGCTTTACATAAGACAAAATTAACAAACAGAAGGATTTAATTTATTTCGTATATTTGTGTGTAATTCTTCAAATTATAGACTATAATATGAATTAAAATGGTACTTAATAACATGTACTTAATAACATGTAACTTGATAATATTACTTTTTTTATATGTATAAAAATACGATATATATTAATTTTATCTTATGTTGTGAGCTTTTTATTGTATATCGCCTTATGTATAACGTATATGTCATATTGTATGCTATGTCAATTTTTTTGCTTCTTATTTAAAAAAGAATTAGCTTATATGCATATGCATCGTGAATTCTTTTTTTGCACGATTAATGAAACTTTCGCAAACTACCACCAGATAGTTATGAGATCACACAGTTGTATACATACTGTGAAAGTTTATCCTATTGTTGACTATTGCGAAAGGATTGAGAAAGAGAAAAAGATATATACTATTTGTATTTAAGTGCGATTACAAATAACAATTGATGGATTCATATAGATGCTCTGAGAGCCCACATACATACACGCACGTATACACACAATCGTAAAAATAAAAAGTATTCTACATATATTTAGTAATTAGTTTTTGTACTAATGTTTCGTATGCATTAATGAGTAATTAACACGTTCAATTATATTCGTATGAATAAAATATTCCGAAATTTGCTATAATAAAAAATAAGTTTTGTACAATATATACAATAATCAGGATCAGATTTAGCCGTTTGCCATCTATAGACGGATAAATAGTACCACTTAAGGAAGAATATTCATTTGTGTAAGTGTAGGCAGGCCTAACAAGAGGGGAGGGGATGACGGGGTGATTTCCCCCGGGCCCGGATTTTTTGAGGGACTCAGATTTTTTGAGGATCCCGATTTTCTAAATGCTCATTGTTTTCGAAACAATAGAGCGCGTTCAAGTTTGTAAGCAACTAGCCTGCTCACCAAGCGACTGAACATGATTAGTTCTTACCTATGGAGGCAACCAATCATGTTCAATCGCTCGGCAAGCAGACCTAGCCGCTTTGCCAGCTTGAACTCGCCCATAGTTTCTTATTTTTTGTAAAAACATTCTAAATTG